CAGCTGAATCTACTTGGTAACAATTACTCTACAACAGACGGACACCATATACTCGTATTAAGTTATTCGGGTAATAATGTCCAATTTTAGAATAAAAGGGAATAGAATAAATTGTTTTAATATATTATATATTATTATTATCATCAGCCTCCTGACTTTTGTGATCGTAGGGCGGGTCTGAATGCAGGAGCCACGCTAACTCTTTTCCACGACGGTCTATCAACGGCAGCCATCAATAATTCTGGTACAGTTATGTTCGTCCATTGTTTGACATTGTCCAACCATTTTTTACGTTGGCGTACTCTCCTGCATCCACCTTCAACGGTGCCTTGCATGATGGTCTTGCACAGGCTGCCGTGCCTTGTAATGAGTCCAAACCACGCCATATTTCTCCGTTTGACAATGACGAGAAGAGGTTCCTGGTCCCACAAATCTTTCAACCCTTTTCCGCACAAACTCATTGTTTTTTTGTTGTTTTTTTTTGTTCCCAATAGAAAATGCCAAGGAGTTTTCTCATGCATTTGTTCTCAAACGCTTGGATCCTTCTCTCTGTATCTGCCAACAGTGTCCATGTTTCACATTCATATAGGAGAATGGAGACTACCAGAGATTTGTACAGTCTGTACATTTTTTTGAAACCTGATTTTGCTCCTCCATATTCTTGCCAATTTGGCAATCGCCGCCTAGGCTGCGGGAATCCGTGTACGGATTTCCGAGGTCAGGGACCATCTTTAGACAAGATTGCTCCCAAGTATTTAAAACTAGACACTTCCTCCAGTGAATTCCCGTTCATAGTAATGCTGACACGAGTGTTACTTTTTGTAACATATTATTGGATTAGTTGCAAAAAATATAGTTGCACCTATATATATATTCCTCATTCCTAATGATAAAAATGTCCTCTTTGTTAATTATTATATCAATCTCTTTCAGAATTTAACAAAACATTATCTACTCCTCATATTCAACATGAAGAAATGCAGATACGAATTCGGAATAATTAGGGTACAGCCATTGCTTAGAATGAAGGAACCTTTTGCACAGTACCATTTTATTTTGGTGCCAAAAATTTGGTCGGGAATATTCTGCTATTCACCACATGCAACATCATGCTTCTGATTTCTTCGCCGTAGCCCTGGCAGGAGTAGCATCCGGATGGTGTGCATTGACAAATAGCAACCCTTGATATGGTCATTACAGTTTTGAATTCAGAATTATCCTTCTCCTAGACTGGTTGCCAAAAACGGCTAAAGATTCGAGTTCCATTATACCATCCGCATATAGAGATATTTTTAAAGCGTAATTTAGTCTGGCCAAAATGAATTAATTCATTCGTTTTTAATGGCTTATTAATGGCCTTTTATAGGTTACTTAATGCGAGAAAATATATATTTTAGATTGTACGAATTTGGGAAGGTGGATAATAATGGTTCAGTGACACAAGTCTTACTAATTTACCCATAGATGAGGAGACACATGGTGGATTCATTCCTTTCCCTTTGCGCGTAAGGAACCGAACGGAAATTGAAACTTAGCTCTCCGATTAACATTTTCTAGCCATTACACCACCCGCACATCCATGTTTAGAGGATCTGGTTTTCGCAGGCGGTCACCCATCTAGTTACTGACCAGACATGACGTTGCTTACCTTGGATGACCATACGGGAAACGGTGTTTCAATGTGGTAACCCCAAGCTCAATATACTACTCGCATATCCAAGATTAGAGAACCTTGTATTCCCAAGCAGTCACCCATCTAAGTAAGAGACAAGGTTTGACGTTGCTTACCCAGAATGATCGTACGTGAAACGGTGTTTCAACGTGATATGGCCGCAAGACCAAGGAAAGTGGAAGTTAATATGCAGCTGTAAACCATGAGACTTGCTTGCTAACTTTCAATCTGTTCCAGGCGCCTTCTCGACAATATTTGTAAATGAAAGTCCGTATGCCACTGGAGATGTGAGTGGAGACCTTTCGGTTTGTTTGAAAGAATAAGTGCGTCTGGCTGAGATTATTTCAATAGCCAAGTCTAAGCTAAAACCGAAAAATCAAAGAATAAAAACAAAACGAACAAAAGGCTGTTTTCCGCCTGGTTCAAATCCAGTTGCTGCAGCGGGAGTGCTGACGACTGGCTGTTGCTTAGGTCGATTGGGCCGGGCCGGTGGGGATTTATGCGAGTGTGGTTGGGTATCCGGGTGGGTCACTCTCATCGACGACAGATGGGTCGCTCGTTTATTAATATTCTACGTTTGAATAAATACTCTGCTTTTCAACACTTAATCATTTGAAATCTTCTATTACCAACCGCATTTTCTCCCAATACACTCGTCTCTCAAAAGATTGTCTAACTCAAGTTGTTTTAAGACGAATGTTAAAGGGAAAGGTATCTGGCTCAGTTGATAAAATGGAGGCTGTACAATTCAAGCCTGAAGATTTCTCTTTAAGCTGGTCCAGCTAAATGGTCAAAATGTATGCAGTACTGAAACTTTGACAGGTAATTTTTGATCTATTGTGATATCCTTATTAAAATCGAATACTAAACCAGTCGAGAATGGGACGTTCCGGCGTAGCCAATTTAGCATCGCTGATTCGGCGTAGGGACGATTAGGCGTCAGATTACTACTTCGTTGTTATAGTAAGATTCTCTTTCTCTCTCTCTCTCTCTCCATCTCTCTCTCCCTCTCTTCCCTCCATATCTCTCTCTCTCTCTCTCTCATAGTCCAATTTAAGAAAAAGAGTAGTTGCAAGCATTTTTATATTTAAGAAAAATAATATTTGGAGTCATTTTTAAATTAAAGAAAAGTATTTGGAGGTATTTTTATATTATATTTCCTTCATATTTTTCAGCCGTCGAAGCCCTTTTATTCGAAAATGGAAGCCATTTTTTTATCAAAACATGGAAGAAACAAAGTGATACACGATGGATAACTTTTTATTTTTGACGCAACGAGCAAGACTGATCCTGAATTAAAATTTTGTCGATGTCAACAGAAAGGTCGATGTAAAGTGAGATTACATATGAAGGATGAACTCCCTAAATGAATAAAATGTTATATTGAAAATTGGGAGAGGAGGTCTTTGCCTCCGGTCAAAGCTAGAGACGCCGAAACAGTCTGGCGCCTAAACGACTGTGCCAAACAGTCCAATTATTTTTCTGACGCCGAATCATCCACGTCGGATCAGCCACACGCAATGGGCGACGCCGAAACTTACCAAACTCCATCCAATCGGTGATCTATCTTTTATCAATTATTATGTCGGTTTTATGGAATTTAATGTTATCATATTCTACTGTATTAGTCCATTAATGACCATCGTAAAATCTGGCAATAATTATGGAAATTAAAATAAATATCTGTTATCAATTATGCAAATCCAGTTGGAGGAACTCCTCCATAATTTGACCATGTCTCAGATGTCTTGTCATACTCACCACGCTATCAAAAAGATTTTTGGAAGTTTTGAATTTACAGTTGTCCTAATTTTTTTTGCTTGATTCTGTTTAGCGGCATGGCGCTATGGATTGTTTAATACCGAAATATATATATATATTTTGAACATAATTTTATGGATTGGACTAAATATATTTTGAACGAAATTGTATTCTTTCAACTACAGAAAATGTATTGCCCGACGGGTCACGGGATAAAATTTACACGTGAACAAATGCTTTTTTATGCAAACTCGGAATCAACCAATAATACGTTAGCAGTTCAATGGATATACGCATTTCAAAATCGATATGGAGACCTACTATTTAACCTCTGTGCAGTAAGTGGAGCAGAGTTTATCCTTATTTTAGATGGAAGAACTTGCTAAGTTCCGGAGATTCCAACCATTTGGCAGCACCTTCCTCATTGCATTAAGAGACAAATGGTATGTGTAATATTGATGCTATCTTAACAGTGACCGCGGGGACTTTGGAAAAAATTGTTTTTGGTTTATATGTATGTATATGGTGCTCCCCACGATCTTGTGTCACATTCCGCCTTAGTGGCGAAACTGGGTAAATAGACTTGTTAATATCCTTTTAAGGTGTTAGCCGTGGCTCTCCCTTGAGGTCGATGATGATAGTCTTGCACTGTGTTGCCTTAGTTGGGTGTCTTAGATTCTGACGTGGCTAATAAGACCGATATTTCCTTAAAGGTTCTTCAACATTGAGAACAGGTTGTTCCGGATGTTCACAACTAGGATTTGAAGTAAGCATTAAAACGCGCAGATTGCTTGCAACGACATCTCCAATAGAACATGTCACCCGTCATCTTGTACACAACATTCACTTCCTACTACCTCCTCTTTCATTCATATCACGCATCTCATTACTCATAAGAATTTTAACAATAAACCTCTACATTGAGTGACTCTCGTGCCTTGTATTGACTGAGCTGTAGTATACAAAACAACTCTGCTGATAGTCTGAGCCTATAGGATCATGCAGTCTCAGTAATATTAGAACTCTAACGTCAGGCATAAAGAATTGGAAACGTAAGTTTCCCCGGTCCACTTGTGGCGACCGCAATTTCTACCTGCCTCTGGTGTTTGTTTGAAATTCACCTTTTCGCTTACTAATCTTGTTCGGAAAAATTGACCGCTTTCTATACTTACCACAGCTACACTACCTCCTTAACTATTATATCAAACACATCATTCGGCTGAGTATTTCTACACGTGGTGGTAGGCAAAAACATCAAGTGTACTGCTCTTTTTAATGTTTTGGCACTTCAGTTTATATATAGGACTGCGTAGATACCGATATATTAAACCATGTCAATCTAACGTCTTAGAGAAATGTTCACATGAACATTCAACATTCTACGCGAGTTTCTTATCAGCCAATCATGAAGACAGCTGCAAGGAAGGATGATTCAAGTCCAAATGATCATCCATTGGCCAAACTATTCAAATTAATCAATTGAATCTTTGAATACTAAAATATCTGTGCCTCAGCAAAAACATTTCACCCAAGAAAATCTATTTTCGTAAAATGGTCCTTCGCCAAATTACAGATGCAATGCTGAAAGAGAACGTAAACAAAACAATGGAATGTAAAAGAAATAAAGAAAGAGAGAAAGAAAACAAAAAAGAAAGAAAGAAAATAAAAGAAGAAAAAGTGAAAGAAAGATGGCAAAACAGAAAGAAAGAAAAAAAAAGAAAGAGTGAGAAACAGAAAGAAAGAATGAAAGAAAGAAAAAGTAAAAACAGAAAGAAAGAAAGAAAGAAAAAGAAAGAAAGAAAGAAAGAGTGAAAAACAGAAAGTGTAAAAGCAAGAAATAGTGAAAGGAAGAAAGAATGAAAAAATGAAAGCACTCAATGGTAAAGAAAGAATGACACTTCAATTGGGAAGAAAGAAAGACTTTAATAAAAAAAAACAAAAAGTGTTGATTGAAAAAAAGAAAAATTCATATGAAAGAAAATAAGAAAAAATAAGAAATTTATGAAAAAAAATATTTCAGTAAGAAAGAAAAAACCTTCAGTGAAGAAGAAAGAAGAATTTTTAATGAGAAAGAAAAAGATGTAAAGAAAAAGAGAGTTCAATGAAAAAGAAAGAAACCTTCAATATGATAAGAAGATAAGAAAGAAAAGACCTGAATGTAAAAGAAAGTAAAACTATGTCAAAGAGAAACAAATGTCAAGAAAATTAGAAAAAAAAAGAAAAGGATTTCAAGTAAAAAGAGAAAAATGAAAAAAAAAGGAAAGAAAAAACTTACAATCCAAAGAGAAAACATTGCTTGCAAAGTAATTCTGTATTCCATTTGGAGAGCGCGTTCTGGTGGGCCTAGCATGAAATACCTGTACATAACGATGTTAGTTCATCAACCTTAATCTCACTTCAACCCTCTCCTTTCTACGCCCTTTCTTTTTACTTTTGTTTTGCAACATAATTCTCTCAATACAAAATTCTTCCGAACCTTTTTGTCTCCATTGCATTCCACGTTCTTTTGCGTCCATTTTTATAACTTTCCCGAGTGCGCATGCGTGCATGAACAAATGCTTTGTAACAGTGAGTGTGTCGACACAAACGTTCGTGTTGACTTTTTTTTTTTTTTACTTCATCTACGCTTATTAATAGCAGTTTCGAATGACACAGCAGAACGGTGTTCAGGTCGAAGAAGCAATTTGGCTTTCTTCCAGGACGAGCGTAAGAGATATTATCTTGGCTGGCTTGAGTTTGTTTTTATTTTGCCGTCATTCCGAAACATTTCCAAGGTGCTTGCCCTAGCTTGATTTTAATAAGATCTCCACGCTAGACATTTACAAGTTTAGTGAGTTCGATCCTCAATGTTGTCTCTAATGCTTCCCTCTGAAAATAATTTCGCCGAAACACCTGAGAGAAGAGAATTCGTACCAACTTTAGACAATTACAGTTGAACCTCGGCTCACGAGACCCGAAATGTTCGTAAACCGAAACTATTTTCCCCATAGGAATCAATGTAAAATGGATTAATCCGGTCCTGATTGATTATTCAAAATTTTATTATCTGACTGTTGTGGTAGAATCCACCTAATTTGCATAGTGGAGTACCGACCATATAAATATGGTTGGTACCGGGAAGACGAGGAGAGGAATCAAGAGATTCAATCCAGAGACTCTTCCCGACTGCGACTAAGTCAACACATTCTCCAGGAACGGTCTTCCCAAGAATATACAAAAGACTATATGTAAATATTGTGTACACTTTCTTGTTTCAATACATTTTGTTCTAAGTACATTTTGTGTTGTATTATTATTCCATGCATTAGTCAAGTTTCAACACTGACTTTGCGCACAGGCTTATATACAAAAAAAGATAAATACAATATGAAAAATATACGTAAAATGGAGACGAAAACTTAATTTTACCGTAGCTATAAGGAGGGAGTTAATGGCGTAAGTGGAAGGCAGTGAAGAAGGGGAATGGGAAAGATGTTATTGTTTGGAAAGGGAGTTTCTTCTCTTTTCTGCCCTTTAGCACCGCTCGGCTCTGCTTCTGTCTCCCTCCATATTTTTCCAATGAGATCTGTATGGAGGGATAGCTACACTGCAACTGACACTCTCCCGCTGATACTCCACGTTTGTCATTCAACGTTGTCGCCATCTTGCATGTTCGTCGCTCGAGACACAGTTCATCAACGGAGAGGTTTTGACGGAAAATCTGTTCTTATAACGATTTGATCGTGATGAGAGGCGTTCGTGACCCGAGGTTTCACTTTCCTTTGGAGCCACGCCATAAAAAACGTTCGTCTCAAGACCAACAATGAGTTCAATCATCTTTGGGTAACCATCATTTATTTTCTTTCATCATTACTTTCTTGTTCTTTTTCTACTCCCGTTCTTTCTTTCTTTCTTTCTTTCTTTCTTTCTTTCTTTCTTTCTTTCTTATTCTCCTTCCTTCCTTTTTTCCATATTCTTTGTTTCATTCTTCATTGTTAATTTTTCTCTTGTTTTCATTTTTTATTCTCACATCTGTCTTTCTTTCTCTTTTCTTATATACTTTCTTTTGCTTTCCAGCCTTGTTTTTTTTTTCTTTCTTTCTTTTCTTTTCATTTATTGACGATAAACTGCATCCAATGCTGAGTAAGACGATAAACTACATCCAGCAGCAAGGCCTCTGATCAGGAGGTTTTGAGGAGCGTGGAACCACCTCTTAATTGCTGATATCCCCAGGTCCACCTTGATCCGAGGTTGTAACATCTGTTAGGGTCCCAGCTATGGGCAGATAGTTAACCCCAAACTGGGTTCAAATCACCATGGAAGTGTAAAAATAGGTTTTAATAATAGCAATGCATTTTTGTAAAAATAAGATTACCAGCAATGAATTTTTGAAGAAGAAATTATTACCATCAATAGACTTTTTTTAAAAAATGCTACAAGAAATTACATTTTTGAGGAAAAAAATATTAGCAGCATTAAAATTCTTGCCGGCATTAAATAACCCATTGAGGTTGATATACCGTAAACAAAACCAAACCAAACCAATCTAATCGCGTTTTTACTTTCTCATTCTTAATGTTTTTCATTTTTCAATATTCCTTTTTTCGACATTTGTCCTTAATTTTTCTTTCTTTCTTCTTTCCTTTCTTTTCTTTTTCTCTCACTTTTTATTTTTCTTATTCTGTCTTTTCATCTTTTTTTTTTCGGTGTTATTTCTTTCATCTTTCATCATTTTTTCTTCGTTCTCTTTTCTTTTATTCTTTCCTTCCTTATGTTTATGCTTGCATTACTTCTTTTTTTTTATTTTTCTAAGTGCTTGATCTGATTTCATTTTCTTTAATTTATTCTAAATTATCATTAAATTTTGAGGTGCGAGTCGTTTAGCGATCTGAGAGTTAAAAATTAGAAACGAAGGGTGGAGTTCAAATTCAGGCCAAGTCAGTTTTCAATGGGAAAGGTATGAATCTATTACTCCCTGAAGTTATGGATAAAGTGGAACGCATTTGGTTCCCCTGTAGCATTGTAAAGATAATCCATTGTAAAGATAAACTATCTTGCGCGTCCAGGAATCGTAACCACCACCCACCATCCTGGTAAAAAAAAAAAAAAAACAGTTGCCTCAGATAGTGATGGGACCGTTTTTAGAAATAGAGACAAAAATATTTCGTAACCTCTCGAGTGGGGCTTCAGAAGACGCCGACTGCATCTCTTCAGAGGGGTAAGACCCCCCCACCACCACCACCACTAAAATGAGTCGTCCTGGGTAAGACGATAAACTACATCCAACAGCAAGGCCTCTCATCAGGAGGTTTTGAGGAGCGTGAAATCATCTTTTAATTGCTGGTGTTTCCAGGTCCACCCTGACCCGGGGTGGTAGCACCTGTTAGGGGTCCCAACTATGAGCAAATAGTTAACCCCACAAGCTGGGGTCAAAACATTATCAAAGTTTAAAAAAGATATTAATACCAGCAATAAATTTTTGGAAAAAAATTATTACGAGCAATTAATTTTTTAAGAAAAAATTATTACCAGCAATCAATTTAAAAAAAATAATAATACCAGCAATACATTTTTGGAAAAAAATATTACCAGCAATACATTTTTGAATAAAAGGAATTTGTCGGTATTAAATAAGCCATTGAGTTTCAAGTTTTCAGTTATGCCGTAAAATTAAACAAACCAAACCAAACCAACTCATAGCATTGCCACAGATGTCGCGCTATACTGAAAGCGGTTTCGATTTGCCTTGAAAAACACACATAGCCAGAGATAGGTAGACAGATAGTAACAGTATAAACCATAGCTATGAAAACCCACAATTTGAAAACATTTCCAGATGAATTCGATTTCTGATTTAAAACTCTGGGGGTAAATACGCAACAATCCCTTGAGCCCGCTAACTTGATCGTTGACTTTCGACTGCAGTGCTATTTAACGTGAAAAAATATGCCTATCATTATGACAATTCCTTATCACAGAAATTCTTATATTTATAAAATATGGACGTATACGAACGTGGGAAAACGAAAATGGCAAAACTTGTTGAAATTCTAGCAAAGGTGTTAATGTTTTCTTTAAGGAAGATATGAATCCACTTGACAAATATCGTCACAAAAATATCACTTGCATGCCACGATAGATGAAATAAAAACGAACGAGTGAATGGACATTTGGGTAAAATCCTTTCTAATAATTCGATTTGCATGGCTGGTCTAAACATTTTTTTACCTTGTCAACATATATGTATATCACAAGGTACAGCATCCATCTTTCAAGGTTGTTAAAGGACCTATGACATTTCTGATTCGGGCTAAATGTCATGAAGATGCAGAACAGAATTGATTTCTTTTTGAACTCATATAAACTTTTTGTAGGTTATTTAAAACCAGAAAATATTTTGGGGTTATAAGAGTTTTGGAGGAATAATGATTCTTACTAATTAACCCATAGCTAGGGTTATAAGAGGTGGATCCATACATTTCCAAAGACGATTTGGTGTGTGACTATAATTTCTAATTTCTCCGATTTCCAATTCCGAGCCATTATCAAATAAACGACCCGCAGATCCAGATTACAGCACCTGGTATTCAAAAGCGTCCACCTATCTTGGCACTGATGAGTTTTAGCTGACGTTGCTTAAATTCGGTAAGTGTTCAAGAACATAAATTCGACATGATACGGCTATAAACTTCCGAAACATAAATCTTTGAAATAAATGGTATATAACAAACAATTTTGTCAAGTTTCTCACGAGTAATTTTTAGAATTCATGAATTTCATATGCTAAATATTTTAGTAGAATTTCTCAATGTCTAGGCCATTAATTTCCCAGTTTAAATCACTATATATATATATATATATATATATATATATATATATATATATATATATATATATATATATATATATATATAAATATAAAAGTGGACACTGAAATCAACATCAAAGGTGAGGGTCTGTTTCATGCTAAACGCAATTGCGTTTACAGTGAAACAGACGGTTGTCTCTCCTTGTTGAATTCAGTGTCCACTTTTGCATTTACATACGCTTTATCCCTGATATTGAGTGCTTTAACATACGTATATATATATATATATATATATATATATATATATATATATATATATATATAAAAATTTAAATGTCCCTTGAGAGATTGTATCCCAACAGAAAAAATGATATCTTTGAGTTTTCCTTTGAATAATGCATCAAATATATCACAATATTTACAACAGCATACCAGTTCACATTCACAATTTAGGAAAATTCTTGTTGAAAATACATCTATACTTTTTGACGACATTTTTAGACATAAGCTGAAAATTCTTTAAGCTATCAATATTAAAAAGTGAAACCAACTGTTAATAAAATTAATTATGAATACTGTACAAATGTTTTAAAATATTTGCGATAGATAGTTTAAAATATCTACGTTTAAACTAATAGTTTAAAATAGTTCTTTATTTAAAAATCTAGATATATCATAACTTAGTTATCTCCCCTGACGTTCACATCATGAAATTTAAATCGTATAGTACGTAACCTTAGCGTTTTCACTTCAC